AATTGGCAAATATCATCCAATTATTCACGACTAAGGCATTATTTAGAAATGACAAAAGTTTAAATTGAACGTCAGTTCTCTATAATATTTTGCTCCCCTCATTTGATGTTGTACTATCACAGAAAACAAAATTCAAATTTTTGGACTGGGGGATAAAAGTAAGGATATCAGGGATGAAATTAATATGCTATTTCAGATTAGTACAAATGTGCTAACACTCTAACACAAGTAATGTAAACTGATTGGCTCGTCTACTTGCTGACTATTTCACGATAGACAGTGGTTGAAGTGAGTAATCTATTGTTGTATGTTTGTCTACAAAATACAGTAAAAAGATGATTGTCTTGTTCTTAAGTTTTTAACAATTAGTAGATATAAACTAAAACAATCATATAACTCGCTCTCTATCTCTATGAATAAAAGAACTCTCGAACTCATAATTCTATTGTTAAATATTGCGATTTCAGTGGTAATGTGTTGACAATTTTTGTTCCCAACAGCGTCTTAGAGAGTATCTAAAGTAATCCTGGCTTGCATTTTTTTGGGTTTATTTCCCTCCGTGTTAAGTCGAGAAAACCTGTGCCAGATTTAAACCAATCAAAGCAAAAACTAAAGCTAAGTGCGATTTGGTCACTCGCGTTTTCCCACGCTTCAAACAGTTTGTCTTTTTGCCTTGAATTCTCATTGGTTAATAAAAAATGTAGATCTCTGATTGGCCGTTATGATGATGATGATTTTTTTTTGACACTCAATTCAACAATGCTCTAATGCCTTTGGACCAATGCATTGAATCCTCTATTTGTCTTTACCCCAGTACCTTTAGGTCCAGCCACTCCGTTCTGTCCTGGTGCCCCAGGAGTGCCAGGAGCCAGTGACAAACTAGTATCATATTGCGGACTCAGAGTAGGAGCTCTGACATCCAGCTGACTGTCCTTCCCGGAAACAACTTTGCGGCTATAAACTGTGAGTTTTTTAATACCTCGCATCCTGATAACGCCCTGATAAAAAACATTTGTTTCAATATTTATTTGTATTTCGTATTCCTAAGAGCCGAAAAGAGAGGAGGGGACAAGTTTGTAAAGCAACTGCGGGGCTGCATCAGTTGGGGTATAACAAGATAATTCGGTTTTATCAACTGAGTTGATAATATAAGTTGATAAGTCCAGAGATTTTAAAGAAGTTATCATTAATTCTATAATAAGTAAATCGTTAACTTTTTCACTCCAACCCTTCCCGCGGGTTGCTGAAAATCAAGAAGTTCCTTCATGAAAGTTTCGCTATTCAAACTATTCTTTTACACACCTCGATGTACACAGTATCGGCCAGGACTTCAAGTTGGACACGATTAGGTTTCCTCTGGACGTTTCCTAACTTCATATTCTCTTTTGCAGCAAGATATTCTTGTACATAGCCCATATGTACAACTCTTCCAATCACCCGGTATTCACCTATGAGAGTTTGAAGGGCCGTGAATTGAATCGAGAAGAAGATAGAATTTGACGAATTAATGAAAAATCGATGAAGAAAAATGAGATGACGTCAGCGTCACAAAATTTTGCTTTTTTATGATACAAGACAACTAAATTGAATGTTGCCACTGTGCTCTCGCTAATAGCTCACTGGTGACGTCAAAATGTTAGAAGGACGTCTGTGACACACTCGGCCGTGCGTCATGTGCCACTCTATTTGTTCTTACCACAATTTTTAGGTTATCTGTGATCTATTACTGAGTGGACGAATGGCAACATGGAATCTAGTCGTTCAAATCTGGGAAGTGACTTTACTTACGTTTTCCTTTGGAAATAACAGCCGGTGTTTCAGTCCATTTCATCTTAGGGATGTTGATACTTTCACTGTAAGACTCATCGCCTTTTTTGACAGTCTTGCATCCACGTCCTGAAATATCTGATAGAGGGAAATTGAAAAACTTCTCCTTGCATTTCACGAAAATAATAATATTGACTAGCTTAGTAGGGTATTGTCATAAGTTTTTTTAGATCATGTTATATTGCTAAGAGACACAGTGTATCATTTAAACCCTACCGCATAAACTCTTGTAGGATGTAGCCTTCCTTTGTTTGGCGGGTGGGTTCGCGAGTTACCACGTTTATTTATTTAATTACACCCAAGACGTTTTTCAACATCGCTGATCCTCTAAGTTCGTAGGACGTTTGTCGTACACGAATCTATTATGTAGTAGGCATCTGAGTTAATTATCTGAATAAGTCATCCTGAAGAACTCACAATTTTAATTTTCACCCCCCATGCTCACAAGAATTCGAAAAAGGACTGTCTAGACAAAATCGCGGAGCGTTACGTGGCGAAGAGAAGCAAAAAACTTGATATTCCTCTTTCAAAATGATGGTTTTTCTTTTTCAAAAAAATATTTTAATTTCAGTAAGATTTAAAAAACGCTTGCCTTTTACTGAGGGAGGGGAATTATTGAAATAAGACTGGGTTTTTTACGTTATTGTCTCAGCGACCATTACCCAATTGCTCGCGATACTATAGAATTTTTGAAATATTTCATCACAAATGTCAAACTATGCCACCTCACTTTGTAACGGCTAACACCTATCCTCACAACGCTGGGCCTTCCAAATGGTACCTTACATTTATTGATTCTCACATACTTGTAAAGTAATGTGTTTATTTCTTTTCTGTATTTTTCTCTTGCAAGCGATTTTGCCTTTTTTTTTGGATTTCATTCATAATTTAGGAGCAATTTTGGTCAAAATATTGATCCACACTTTCCTTAGTTTACTGCACCTCAAAATGGAGGATTCGTTTTAGATTTCCCTTTTTTCAACCCACATCGAACAGGAATCTTTAGTTCATGCGTAAGTAAATTAGTCTAATATTTCCTTTGTACAAAAATTCTTGACAGTTAGACATGTGTGACAAGTAGGAGGCGGATGATAAGACTTACCTGCTCCTAATACCATATTCAAGGCTGACCGTAAAACAACACTCAAAACAATTATCCTAAGGCTCATCGCGTAAGAGAAGACACTTCTCCTTTATAAAAATATTCTTCTGACGCTGATGTACTCCGGGAAACCCCAATGAAAAAAAATCGAATGGTTCTCACCTGTATATGAACGTTTAAAGAGGTGAAGTTTAAGGTGACATAATTGTTTCTAAATTTCCCAGACCATGGCTTCCTACAAAGGCACCTGTTCCCGTTATTGTTTTTTCATCCATTATTACTTAACAGTTTCATTACTTACGAAAGATTCTTTTTTTTTTAATCTCTTTTGGGAGTCAACAAATTTCAAAATAAAACTACGTCGGGAATTAGTTATTTTTACCTTGACAATTTTAAACCTGGCGCCGAAAGTGAACCACCACACAAAACACATTGTTTCATCGAGTGAACAATATTCAAAGTTCTTTACCAAAGATAAGAGTGCTTTTGTCACAAAATAAAACAATCAAATGCTAAAAGTCTTACGCTTGTCTCAACATCGTTGGTATGATGAATAAAGCTGGTCTATCAGTATGAAAATGGTGTTCGGTCCAAATACAGTTCGACATTTTTTTTTCATCGGAGCGTCATCACTGATCAATCATTAATTATATTTAGATCACTTTAGTCTTACTTCTGTTTTATGAAATTTTGTCATCTTAATTTAGGGATCCAAGAAATTGCTACTGATACTACGTACGGAATTGTAGTCCACCTAGTGAGAGTTTTCAGTTTGGTTTGTTAATTAAGGAAGAATGATATCTTGTACAGTTTCCGCCAAGATATCCTTAGGGTGTTTTTAGACATTTATGTTTTCTACCCATAGAGAGTTGAGCAAAAGGGATCGTTAACGCAGAAATTAATATAACACATTGATTCCTTGAGAAAAGGATTACAACATAAAGGATGACTTCACTAGTCAGACTATAAATCAAAGATGTACAAAACGGAAAAAATGTAGATACATCAGGTATCTTTGAATTTGTCTATTTATTTAGATGACAGGCGTCGACACACTAACGAGTTGTAAGTTAGCGAGACACATCTGTACTGTTCTTAATTTTCAAAAGATTTTTAAATTAATGGACCAGTTATATATTGGAAAACAGTAGATGTGAAGGCACAGATTACCAATTAAGGAC